TCGTATCAAGCTGCGCCCAGCGAAGCATTTTATTAGTTATTATCTTGAATATTATTATAGATAGAGATAAACTGTAAACAGCAATAATGTTCAGCAAAGTAAGATCTACAAATAAGTTGTCATGACCAAAATTGTCAGTCGACACCTTTAGGAGTTATTGCCCTTAATAATCAATTTTTAACAATTTTTCGTAAATTTTTGTAATCTTTTACAAAAATCTTCTTCTCTGAAACTACTGATACAAATTTAACCATACTTGGCCATAATCATTATTAGGGTACCTAGTTTAAAAAATTTGTCCGATGACCCCGCCAACCAACCAAGATGGCCGCCATGGCTAAAAATAGAACATAGGGGTAAAATGCAGTTTTTGGTTTATATCTCTGAAACTAAAGCATTTAGAGCAAATCTGACATGTGGCAAAAATGTTCATCAGATTTAGATTTATCTGCCCTGAAATTTTCAGACAAATCCGACGACCCGTTGTTGGGTTGCTGCCCCTGAGTTAGTAATTTTACAAAAATTTTGCAGTTTTTTGTTATTATCTTAGATATCATTATAATATCTAATATCTAATACTATTAATTATGATTTTAACCTTATTTTACATGATTTCCAAAGCATCAGTAAATACAGGTGAGCGACACAGGCTCTTGAGAGCCTCTAGTTTTCAAATACTAGGAATGATCATTTGACTCTCCCTTTTTTTCAAATACTAGGAATGATCATTTGACTCTCCCTTTTTTTTCAAATACACTTAAGGGAAGAGCTTAGTTTTTAAAATCCCAGAGGTAGGTCAATGATGGGTTAATTCAGAAATTTCACTGCAATCCTTCTTGTATATTATGTTGTACTGTCTCAGCATCCTTGTAATGATGTTTGGACCAATCAGAAAGTAGGAAACCACAATTTCTCCATAATGCAATACCATTTCAGGATCGTTCAATTGTCCATATATGTATGATTGAATGATATGACTAATATAGTAATTTGATGTAGAACTTGATGTTAGTATTTTTTATTTGCACTGGTGTAGCATTTCTGAAAAAAAAGGTTATGGATTTTCATGTTACTAAAGTTTTTGTATTATTTCAACTTTGGTAGCCCAAAACGTGCCACCTGCACTGTGTGCTATTGCCAGTGATTTGGTTGTAAACTGTATAAGCAATTTGACCCTGATTTATGTATGGTTTCATAAGTGCCTTTTAGAACAAGGTTATAGAAATATTTAGAAAAAGTTATTTTAACTTCAGTATGGTAAAGTTGTTCTCTTTCATCCTTTTATGTCAGCAAATGACTTACACAAGGTTAGTATATTTGTACACATATGTCACTGAGAATTTAAACTACAGTTAAACTTTAGTATCACAAGGAAATCCTCAAATTGTTGTTCTTTAGCATAGCAAATTTCCAGTGGATTGCACCAGAAAGACTCTAAATCTGGTCTTTGGTGTCATAAAATAGGTCTCCTTGCATGGACTTTGAGGCTATTCTGAATATTAAGTAGATCATATTAAAGAATAGATAGTTTAGTGGAATCTTTGTGTGTAATAAAATGGTGATCCCGAGGGTTTTTCTTTACTGATATCTTGTAGTTAATTGTAAGGAGTTCACGGGTAGTACCATTTGGGTCATTCTGAATATTAGAACCCAAGCTAAAGTGAAGACTTTAAGTGGTTTTTACTTTCCCCCATCTAGTTCAGAAGCCTTAATCAGACATTTTAGGAAAATTAAACAAGCAACTGTTCAGTATCAAGACTAATTTGTCTGATTGTAATTGGAGTATGAACTCCAAATGTCTGCAATTATCTTGATAAACATCTTTATTATTCCCAGTGTCTTTTAAAGGGTTCCTTTGCCATAAGATAACAGCATGAATTATTACTAGTCAAAGCTTTCATCAGTAATCTTCACAGCCAAAAGTGATGTGACTAAAACCAATATCCAACTATTTTGGTTTTGGTATTAAAGGAATCTTAGCATGCAACAAGAAGTTTTCATCAACACTTTGCTTTTTAAGGAAATATGCGGTGTACGAATTCTTTTCAAGTGTGCATCATTTGCATGAAAATAATCCATATAAGTTACTGGGATGATAGAGTTATGACGTAAATGGGAAATGGTTCGGTTGTAACGAAAGTTATTATGGAATATTATGACAAGTGGAAATTGATTGTTATTGATTATTAATATATCATATGAAAATTGCTACCAATTATATAGTGGTCATATAGTCAGTTATTGAGTATCATAATTTTTTTGTCAAATGGTTGTGTCCATTGTTGTTAGAATTTATTGATCAGTTACATGTGTATTGATGACAGAAACTTCATCTGTGTTTACATTGTTTATACTCAAGGCAAAATGACACATATGGTCTAATATCTATTGACGTTTTTTTGGATAATTGTGTATTTTATCAAGAACAAATGTGAGTAATTGTGTGTTGTATCATTTATTATGTAATATTTAATTCATATTAGGAATAATGGTATAAATGGGGATTTGTCGCGTTTTTGATTATGTTCACATCTGGCTAGGGGATAAACATGTTAATTAAAAATTTATTGTCCGTCTGCCAGGATTTGTCAGGATTCAGTAGTAACATGCTAAATACAAACAAGGAACCAGTAGAACATTGAATTGATGTAAAGGCAAGAAAAAATATTTTGACACAGTGATAATAAGTTGTAAGTTTGTAATGTATGTGTAATTTTGAGATAGTATACAACTAGAAACTGAAAAAAAAAATAATATACAAACATTTTTTTAAATGGGTATGTAAGTTTTATTTAATTTGTGTAGTCTTATGGCCAATTTATTTTAAATATATATATATATATTTAAGACTATCTGTCAATAGGGCGCCATGTCCCTCAAATTGTCACATTTCCATGTTCAGTGAACTATAAAATCCGGGTCAAAACTAAAATTTGACATATATATTAAACAATTCATTTCACATTGAACATGTGTACGAGTTTTATGTTCATATAAACAGAAACTACCTTAAACCTTACTCCCCTCTACTACAGTGGCGGATCCGGGGGGGGGGGGGGGGGTTGGAACACCCCATTTTTTTTTAGACAATCAATGCTTTTGAATGGGGACATATGGTTGGAACCGCGCCTATATCCTGGGTTGGAACCCCCTTTTGAAAATGGCTGGATCCACCCCTGTACAACTAGGGTTGGGCATAAAAATGGTTGATTCTGATTATAAAGTAAATCCAGAAAATAAACCTTGAAATAATGTGTTTGTTTAAAATGGGCATCTTTCTTTTGTGAACCAATAATTATCTTTGTGAAAAGTATCATCACTATGTTTGAAATAATAGAAGGATATTATTTATTTTTCAAGTTTACTGAAGTGAGTAGAAAGAAATGTCCTTAAACACCACCCCACAAAAAAACCCTAAATACACTCACACACACTGTTTCTTAATGCTAACAAAGTGGTAAAGGTTTCATGCAGTTCATATTTTGTAAGCATTTCTCTCTTTTCATTCATCATATGTTACTTTCTATTATCAGCATCTACCCTGTCTGGTATTTTCTAAAACATTTACATTAAGGCTTTCTAACACTTTCTAATGACAGCATAAGGGACTTTAACCTTGATGTTTTAAGCATTTAATTTAATGCATAAGCTGTAAGTTCACTGTTGAAATGGGAGATAACTCTTGCAAAGGAGTAATAAATTTTATAGCTGGTCAGAAGAAATTCATTGATAACATGTCACAGTCATGTTTAAAAGATACGTTCAATTTTAAGAAGTATTTACTAGCTATATCATACTATTTATGGATATACAGTAAAGTTAATGAACAGTAAAATTAAATTTAACTTTTCAGTTGTGTCACCGTGAAATTACTATCTAAGGCATAAAGTCGGTAGAACTTGCGATTTATATTGACATTACCTGGAGCTAAGTAGATTTCTATCAATGATAAATCCATCAGCTTTGTAAAAAAGTAATCAATACAAGAAAAATAAACTTATTTTGTAAGAAAACCTATAACATCGTGTAAGAAGCTTTGGGAATTGATAAAGCAGATACACATATATTTGTATACCTGTATTATATGATGTTAAAGAAAACAGATTTGTGAATTGAATTTATATTTGTTAAAAAAAAAAAGACACTATATATGGAATAGTAACATTTGAATACCTTACAACTGACAACGGTCAAATGTTTAGTAAGGACCTGTATTTAGATGACCTTGAGATCAAACTTTGTCAGAAGGATAAAATGGATGTTTTAAAACTCAATGGGTACGGTAATTGATTTTTATATAATCATATTCCAGATTATAACATTGTTAAAGGTACAAAATGTACTACATTTACATCCAAACCCAGCTTTGCACTTGATTGTATCAGTCATCAGGAGGACATTGCTATCCCCCCATTCTGTCAGATAACCAGTCTGTGCTTTAATTTGAATGCTATACCCCTATTTTTTGACATTTTTGCCTATTATGTCTGTTTGTTTTGTTCACACATTATTGTCAATATAATGGAATTTTATGTGACTGTCATACAAGTGAGAGGTTTAGCTAGCTATAAAACCAGGTTTAATCCAGCATTTTCTACATAAGGAAATGCTTGTACCAAGTCAGGAATATGACAGTTGTTTTCCATTCGTTTGATGTGTTTGAGCTTTTGATTTTGACATTTGATAAGGGACTCCGTTTTTAATTTTCCTTGGAGTTCGGTATTTTTGTAATTTTACTTTTTACATCTTATTGATGTTCTGTTTTAACTACTAATTTTAAATGATGCATAGCAAAACCAGTAATATTTCTTGTAAATAAGCTAGTGTGCATGCATGATGACGTGTATGGGGATTTAGCCCTAGTCTTGAATTACAGAGAATTACTAGAATGAATATTGATTATTAAATGAAAAAAAAAGAAAAGAAAAAAAGACTGAACTCACTTTCATTTTGGATTGATTTTCATTAAATCTTAAATCGATTTTTTTAATTGTTTTCAGATTCAGCATGATAAGATAAAACAGTGACAAGTTTCATGGATCCAGTCATGGCATTCAGTACTATATTTAAGAAGGCTACCAACTTGTTAGGTATAGGTGGAAGTGATTTAAAGCCTCCACCTCTTGATGGAGAAATCATTTATTGTAAGAATAATGTTTGTGTCCACCCACCAGCACCACTGACCATGGACTCAGAACATCATCCTGGCTACCTTAACATTAGATCTCAGATGGATAAGGTAATTTTGTTCAGTGGATTCATTTATTTTTCGTGGGTACCAATTTTTTAGACTGAGGAAACATGTTATAGATATTTGATATTGTTGTTTATCTAAAGTCTGCATACAAGGCTGTAGAACATCTGTACTTCGGTGAACATTTTAATTCTGAGTTCTATACCCACGGAGTCTTAGTAAATTGGTATTCCACAAATATTAATTTGGTTTTGTTTGCAGTTTGGCCCTTAGATGGGTTAGTTAAATCTGTCCAATTTTCTTTTAGATAAGCCGTTAAAACTTTGTGTAGGAAAAATTTCACTGTAAAATGTCAACCTCGAAAATTGCAAAAATTAGACACGCATGAAAATTTCCTAATAAACTGTTGTGCTTATACATGTATAAATAAAGTAAATATGAATGGGAGAAGTTAACAAGACATAAACCCAACAATAAATGTGATTAAAATTGAATTAAGTATAATACAAATAAATCAACAAAGAATTATTTGTTTCATTTTTATGTATCACACTCTGTAAGAGTATATTCATACTAAAAAACATATATGTTGAAAGGTATAAACAACTTTTAGTCTCCGTTCTTCATACATCTTGGCCTATCACTATTTGTCTGCCATTACTGGCCATCACAGTCATTCCCATAAAATTTGACATCATCAGAGAAAATGTCTGACGCAACAATACAAAAGTGATTGTTGTATGACGTCAACAGATTTTGCAGATTCTGAAAAAAACGATTAGGTTTATTTGTGAAGACTGTTATGAAAGAATCAACTGTTTTGATATTTGCAGGCATTTATGCAGTCAGTATTTAAGAGAAGTACCACCACTGTATATATTTATTGATTGAATTTTAGAAAATATTAGTCTTAAACTTTAAACATGTACTCAATATTTTTCGTGTATTTCAGATATGTTTCTTTTTTCATCATTTCCCAAAAAATCTTAATTCTTTTGTAGTCAAAAGGACCAACACTTATTTTAACCTGGATCCCAAATTCAAGTTTGAAGAAAAACCCAAGGAGTATAGAAAACAGTCCAAACAAAACAGATGATACTGCAATAAAGCCTAGCCCACGAAGACAACCACGACCTGAATTTAGCAAGGTCACCACACCATCACCAGTCAGTTCTCCTAGAGGATCTTCAATATCTAGTGATGTTTATGAATATTATTTAGACAGGGGACCAGTAAGGTCAAAGAAAAAACACAGTCTAGATAATTCTAGTGTTAATTCTGAAGTATCTGTTGGATCTCGTGATGAATTTGCCAGCGGAGAAAGCTGGTCTCAATTTGATGAGAGTGGGAGAAAGTTAAGTTTGAGTAGTAAATCACAAACCGATTCAGGACTAGGGCCTGATCATGAAGAAATTGTTCAAAATAATGAAAAAAATTTCAAAGGTGAATATGTGCGAATGAATAAAATTGGTGTAAATGTAAACAATTTACAAACCAGCAAGGGAAACAACTGCAGTTCTGTTAAAAAAACAGAAGTAGAGGAGATGTCTTCTCCTGATACAAGTGATAGTTTGACGGCTGAAGAGCAGCTGGCAGCCATGTTGAATAGAAACAAACTTCATGCAAAAGTGAAAGAAAACAAGATACGACACAAATCAGTCAGTATTGAAATGGAAGGAGACAATATAGTGATTGTGACAGAAGAATTAGAAAAAGACATGATAGTAGATCATGATAAATATAGTGAAGAACATAATATAAACAAGAACGAGAGTAAGTTTGACACAACTAGTAGTTCTAGTATGTCACAATCAACGGACGGGGAAGGAATTAGTCTCAGTTCGGATTCCACTCATCCAAGCCCTTCAGGTGCTCACTACAATCAAATGTTAAATGAACTCAAAGAAAACGTTCATAAAAATGTGACAGAAAATGGTCATTGTGATCATCTGACTGAATCTAGTGACTTAAAATCAAATGATGTCAATTATATCAATGAAAAAATACCTCATAAAAGATCAAAAGTTCCAACGGACTTGAATTATAGAAGAAAAAGCGATGAAGATGCAAAAGAAACTTCAGGAACTACTCCTGATATTTCAGTGACAAGATATAGGACTATGTCAGAATCATCATCTTCAACAACTACATCAGGACCAGACTCGAAACCACTGAGTTTAAGTTCATCACCAGAGAACTATCCATCATTAGATCCCAACTTCATTGAATCTCCATCAAGTTGTGATTCTTCGGTATACTCACATAATTTATCATTCCCAAATAATTCAGTAACTTACTCTCGGAGCAAGGGTCTACGTAAACATGGCAAGGATCAAGTCTGTGGTGTCTTTTCTGTAGATCTTGGTGAGTAATTATTAACAATGGCCAAATTTTTGTAAAATGATAGATTTGTTTGTTTAATCATGTTAATGCAGTTTTATGATTATGGATGTTAATTATCTTGATGGAGGAAACTGGAGAGCCAACGGTTATCCACTGACTTTCAGATACTGATTTGTGAAGAGCAACTTGCTATTTTTGCAAGTGTGATCGAATAGAATATGTTTGTTTCTGCTCATCCCTGCAGAGAAAAATGAAATCTCTTGGTAAAAGAATTTTTGACTTCATAAAATTTTTTTTTGGTGGCAGTTATATGTGTGTGTTTGTTGAAATCATGTATTTTGCATATTGCAAATTGTTTTTGGTCATGTCTCTGAACTGATGTAATGCATTGCCCCAATTTGGCTGTTTGAGAATAAAGATATAGACATGATAGATGTGCATTGTCACAAAAAATGGTGTTCCACCTTATATTTGTTAAGCAATTATCTGAAGGTCTTGGTTTTGTTTTTATCTAAAATGATAAAAATCCAGTGTAAAAAAAATACATGTACAGCAAAAATCACAGATGAAAAAAGCATTTCTAATACATTCTTGGCACCACAATTCAGATAACAGTATACATGTATATATTCAGCATTGGGTCTTTACTAAACCAGCTTTTTTTTAACAAATTTGATGCCGCTGAATGTTCATGCAGTCACTACAATTGTTGGACTTCAAGAAATTTCATGTCCTTCTAAACAGAATTATTTCGATCAACAGATCAATTCAGTTTTACAATACCATTTAAGAGGCTGCTTTTTCTGTTACAAAATTAAACCTTAACTGCGACTGTGTATACCTAATCTAAATTATACTACTGGAACTAAGATATATAATATTAGTTACATAGTGTGCTAGTGACCTAATACGGTATATATGGGGGTCAGTAAATTCCATATAGGGTGAGAGCGACCCCATATATACCATATTAGATCACTAGCACACTATGTAACGAATTTATCTTACCGACTATCTTAACGTGTGAAATTTAGACTAGTGACCTATCAAATGAGCAAGTCTTCAATACTGTTAGCATTAAGAAACTACTTCCATTGATCCTACAAAAACAGATACCAACAATAACAACTTGTTAGGTTTAAATGTGTTTTATGAATTAATTTCAATCTTAATCATCACTTTCTTCGTCTGTTGAAACCTTTACGATTTTTTCTCAGTACCGTTTTGTTTTTATAAAGGGACGTAACACCACTACTAACCGTCTATGAAATAAGCCCCACCTCCCTACTACCTTATAAGGAATATAAAGGGACGTAACACCACTACTAACCGTGTATGAGATAAGCCCCGCCTCCCTACTAACCTAATATGAAATATACATGGTCTCCACGAGGGCGCTTTTAACCAATCACATTCCTAGAAACATGAGAAATGTATAGGAGGTAAGATAAAATATCTTCCAAGATTTCTATATTTTCAGGTCAGATGCGATCATTACGATTGTTTTACAGTGATCCAGAATGCACTAAAGGACAAGTAGTGATAGCTAGTCGTGAGAGTCAGTATAAAATCTTACATTTCCATACAGGGGGACTAGATAAACTGGCAGAAATATTCAAAGATTGGAATCTGTTTGCTCAGGATCAAGTACGTATAACTATTTATCTCTATTAAAGAGAGCTGTATCATTCAATATGGTTCTGAAAAAAAAATCTTGAAGTAAGCACAAATCTATTATCAATTTACCTATACTGTGGGCATTTTAAAGGTTGACATAGTAAAGACACTTGTAGTGGTCCCCAACTGACCCAAGGCTTTGAGAAATCAACCGGACATTTGGTCCAGTAAACCATTCTCCTTAACTGGACCAGACTCTTTTTACAGGACATTTACATATATGATTTGGACAAAATTCAAAATTTTACTGGTCATTTGGTCCAGTAATGCATATCACTTAACTGGACCAAACCAATTTTTTACTGGTCTTTGCCAAATGTCTGGCGACCTTGGGAATGACTGCACTTGTCTATTGTCAAATTCTGTACGTTTACCTCTTCACTCTTTTTTTTATTTGTGAAATTGTGTGGATGTCTAAATTACATATATATGTCAATTTCTCCTTTTATTCATATAATGTATTTATTACCTATTATATCATGTAGAATTTTGCTTCTACCTTAAACTTTACTGACTAGACTAAAGTAAAATGGGAAAGTTTGCGTGTTCCTGGTTCTTTTTTCCATAAAACTGTACTGAAGAAAAGTTATACTGGTTTATTCATTTTGATTGCAATATTTGAATTTTTTTAGTCCCTGTGGGTTTACCAAGTATAAATAATAGCCCAACTGGAATTGCCCAATGAGCATTTTAAAGAAACTAGATAAAGACCTTTTCTATATACATTTGGGTAATTGGACAAATTTCTCTCACATCCACTTTGTTTATATTAAGGACAAAGGAGTCAATTGGGAACATGCTTAGAAATAATATTTTGAAAATTACTCCATAACTGTAGAAGAAAGATGTTCAAAATTACATCACATGCTGACATGTTAGAAATTGTAAAGATAATTTGACTTTTGGTAGAAACTACAAAATACTCCCTATGGAGAATAATTGACTTGTCAGAGAAGAGGTTTAATGTAAATGAAAATGACTGTTTGGTTCTTCAATAAAACACAGATGATATATAATGATGATTTACCTCTTGTTATAGCAGCGGTAATACGGTTACTGGTCGTAGATGATAGAACATCATTTGATCAATAAACTATAATTTCTTAATCATGTTTATTCTGTTTTCTACCAATTATCAGTAGGTGTAGTACATGTATATAGAATTCTTAACTGTTGGAAATTTTTACAATTCCTGGTATTTTGAGCAAGCATCTTTTAGACATGAATAAAAGAGAAAAGGGTATACATCAAATAGACAGCAACTCAACAACAAAAAAACAAATAAAACCATATAGACATCCAAAGGGTATCTGTCCCCTTAGTCTGGATAGATTTTGAATGACCTTCTGCTCAAAATTTTCCAAAGACAAGAACTATCTGAAGACATCATTTGACATGGTTCCTGACTTATGACAGGCACCTAAAGGTCAATATACAGTTACCTACAGTCTTCAACATAAACAAGTGTCGATACAATATGTCAATCTTAAAATCTCTGCATGTCTGAAAAATTGTGAATAATTTAACAAACTATACTAGATCATGATCAGCTGCCATTTAAACAAAATTCTCCAAAGGAGTCATACATCAAAATACATGTGTATAATACAAGAGAATCACTGATGTGGTTACTTACTTTGGACATCAGAATACATGTGTATAATACAAGAGAATCACCGATGTGGTTACTTACTTTGGACATCAGAATACATGTGTATAATACAAGAGAATCACTGATGTGGTTACTTAATTACTTTGGACATCAGAATACATGTGTATAATACAAGAGAATCACCGATGTGGTTACTTACTTTGGACATCAGAATACATGTGTATAATACAAGAGAATCACTGATGTGGTTACTTACTTTGGACATCAGAATACATGTGTATAATACAAGAGAATCACCGATGTGGTTACTTACTTTGGACATCAGAATACATGTGTATAATACAAGAGAATCACTGATGTGGTTACTTACTTTGGACATCAGAATACATGTGTATAATACAAGAGAATCACTGATGTGGTTACTTACTTTGGACAAGGACCATAAATATTAGGTGGATTTAAATTAATTTTTTTGGCATGTTTCAAGATTTAATTTGTTAAAATATCATTTTTATCGAGCCTGCAACATTTTGTCGTGGAAGTGAGACATAGCAATCCTACATTCGATTGACATCATTAAATTTGTTAAACCTTCATGGAATGTTTTGAAACTTTGAAATAAGCTTCTTCAAGATCAAGTTATTGAAGTTATAGCATCTGAAAAAAAAGTAAAAATTTAGTATATTTCCTATAATTTTTTTTATATGACTTGTGAAAGGACTTAGTTTATGCATGACAATCAACAATACACTTTAAGGATGTTCGCTCCTCTTGCTTTTGGATTTTAGTCAGATATTGGAATCCTTTGGTTTTATCCATGTAGTGTCATTAAAAATTTAGCCCGCTAACCCCTACTTTTTTTTTCATAATTTATTACATATAGTTTAAAAAGCCATATTTGAAAATCTTATAAAATCTTTGTTATTTTTCATAGTTTTATAGGTTATTTTTAAACAGAGTAGCGAACATCCTTAACATTGACAGCAGCAGTTGATGCACAGATGCAAGACACAGGGTTATGCGGAACTCTTGGCAAATTTTAAATTTTTAAATAATGTTGGTTTTGTGGGATTCAGGCCATAATCTTGCCGGCGAAATGACGATTTAAGTCGCCAAAGAATTTTGAAAATCGCTAAATCTCGCCAGCCGACTGACTTCATGGTGAAGTCTAATCGCTATGAAAATTGGTAAAAGGGAGACAACTTGTGAATTACAAGTCTCCCAGGTAAAAAAAATGGCGACTGACAAAGAAAATCGAGATTTTCGACACGACCCAGGACTAATACTGTCGACGATCAAATTAAATAAATACAACGGCGACTTTGAACATCCTCGGATATAACATTCAAAACTATTCAAACGGACAACTGTTAAAGTTATCATTTTACGATGATTTTTATCGGAGGATGTTGCGTAATCACTCAGCTGATTTGTTTTATTTTTATTTATTACGAGTCGATCAAATTGTACTATTCGGTAGGTTAAGGGTGGGAATTAACGGTAGATTTATTATATTCATTGAATAAAAATTGAAATATAAAAGGTAGAAAGACAGCTGATAGATAATGTGATTGCAACCGTACGACACTCGACCAGCTGTGATCAGCAGTGGATTTTTTTTCACGACCATTTCGTTGATAGGGAAGTTATCTTGAAAAAATGATAGAAATTAGTTGTTTATCGGTTAATTAATATGCGATTGACAGATATTTTCATTTATAGGCTTACAATCTTTAACAAGAATCTCAATTTACAACTACATGTAACATGATGTCCTGGACATTCAATAATGTTTTACAAATAATGACAAGTGGTGATATAAATTAAATTCCCAGTCATGTGAAATTCTTCAGGTAAACTGGGAGTCATATTTTTCTGGACATTTAAAAATAAATTGAGGCAGATGCACATGAATTTAATGCATCATAATATTACTAGGCTACTCCCTCGAGACTCCTTCATGTCCCAAGCAACAAATTTTATTTAAACTTTAAATTCAAGTTGACAGTACAAATGGTATCAATGAATAAATAACAACTATATTGTCTAAACCTTTTTATTAAGAACTTTCTTTATATACATTTTGTACAATAACATGAAAAAAACTGTAAGTATATTTTTTATTGCATATAAAACAATTTCCTTAGTGATAAGCACGAGAACACTATGCAACCGAAACGGTAATGGAATCTCACTTCTCCATTCTCTCTCATGGAAGGAGAAGTCACTTCTCCCTCTCCAAAATCCTAGATTAGGCCCTGGGATTAAGCATTTTATGACAATATTTCTTGCACAGTTGATTGCATTTAATTAAGATGTTCACAATGCATGGTTTAAGCACATCAAATTGAACTCAGATACAGCTTAATCCGTCCGGTAACTTTACTTGAAAATTTCATAATCAGTAATAATGAATCTGTAATACAACAAATTCTATAATGATTTATAGCTGGTTGTATATGTGATAATATAGTTACTGATAGTTATAAATGATAGAGTTTCACTTAATCAATAAACTATAATTTCTTATTACAGTTTCCTGCTATAAATAATCTGGCTTATATATTGTGAAGTAATGCTTACTTTGATAAGTCCGACAGGAAATTTTTTAACATTAAAAGTTTTGAAAATTTGATGTATAACATGAGGGTCTGGATGGGGTTTACAGAATAGAGAATAATGGGCCAAATCTACAGAAAAATGGACTCAATAAGAAAAAGAGGGCAAAAAAATATACAATAGAGAATAATGGGGTGCTTAAAAACAAAGAAGAGAGAAAAATGACCTTAAAAAAAAGGAATACAGAAATGTAGACCCCATTCCGACCCTATGATACATTAATTCAAATCAATTAATAGACCTTATTGCAGGCTAATATGCATCTAGTACTTACCCCTTTTTATGCCCCACGGTAGGCAAAGGGGGCGTTAAGTGTTACCCTTGCCTGTCCTTCCAATTTTTATTTCCGCACTTTAACTTAAGTTTGCCTCATGCAGATTTTATGAAACTCATACACAATGCTAACACGAAGACAGAGCTCAAATTGGGGTTGTTAGTCATTAACCATTCTAGAATTATGCCCCTTTTTAACTTGGAAAAATTGCAATGCTTGAGAGGGGGCATTCGTGTCCTCAGACACATTCTTCTTTTATTTTCATCTTATTAAAATCTCTTATGAAAGCAGTACCATTTACCGCTATATATTTTGGTTTGCCTTTTTTTCTAAAGAAATGTTTCAATTTTGTATCTCATTTGGAGAAAACTTTCCAATTGGAACCATTTATTGTGTGTTTAGAAATGTTTATGATTCATTGATTATAAGGTTTTGAGCGTGTTTTAATATTTTATGAGGTAATTC